TCAGGTGGCAAATAGTCCAGAGTGCCGCACATAGTCCGTCTTCGATTAAAGGTGTGCACTGACCACCCAAAGTCTGCTATTTTAAGTTCACCCTAACAGCAGAAATATTAAAAATAATTAATTTCAGCTGTCATGTTACTGCAATGCAGTGTATGAACTGTTTAGCAATTCTAAATATATACCTGTGCACCAACTAAAAGATTCTCTGGCTTAATATCTCTGTGTATTACGTGCTTCCCATGACAGTATATCAGGGCCCGGGCTAATGATGCAACATACTGCTCCAAGACCCAAGATAAAGAAAAAATAGAGAACTTATTGTCAGTTTGAAAGTAGATGGTGAAGGGCATGAATATAATTAGATACTGAAGGCTATCTAGAATGGGACCACAACAGAAAATTTAAAGAAAAAACTACCCCATCTGCTCATTTACAAACTTCTCTAATTGAAGAAAAGACTACCCTATCTCCAATAATATACGTAAAACTAGTTCAGTAATTCAACAAGAACTCACAGTTGCAGCACGTCGTTCACTGAAATATTTGCATTTCTGCAGCTCCTTATAGAGTTCACCCTTGGCAGCATATTCCAGGATCAAATACACACGTTTCTGCATTAGTAAGTGCTATCATCAGTCTCTTGAAAGTTCTTAAAACCAAAAGTTGAGAACAAGCAGCACAGAAGAAGAGGTTACGACAAGTTACCTGGTCATAAAAGTAACCGTAAAGCCTCAGAATATTTGGATGGCGAAGGTGGCTTTGTATTTCAACTTCACGACGAAGCTGATGTTCAACCTGGGACTGTTTTAGCTGGCTCTTGAACAGCACTTTTAATGCAACAATATGATTGCTCTGTTTTCAAGAAACAACTAACCTTAGTATTGGAATGTGATTGTAGAATGTTAAGTCTATCTAATAGAATTCGATTTTTTTTTTCAAGTCATGTCCATAAGATATCATCCCCAACCTCCCACAATTACCATTAGACGCTATATAAAATTTCTTATCTAGAACCTCGGTCGGTCCTCGAGTATACAGACTAGTACTACCATAGCTGATAACTAATATGTTGAACGAGAGATTCTCACTCGCAAAGCATAAATCCGAGAAATTGAAAAAGTAAGTAGCTTTATCAGCCATTTTTAACATGTAAAGCTTTAAGGACTTACCCTTTTCTCCCTAGCTAGATATACATGACCGAACTTTCCTCTTCCAAGAGGCTTCCCAATGTCGAAATCATTTAGTGTCCATCTCTTTTTATCAGCCTCTGATGAAGTCTGTAGAAGTTGAAAATTCTGTAGTCCACATAAAAGATCAGTTAAGTAAAAATAACAATAAATTCTTGTTGTTGTTGTTGTACAGTATATCATCAAAAATCAAATTTGGAATTTTAAAAAATAAATAAATTATACCGGTCATAAAAAATGAACATAAAAACCCTAATCATATCATAAACCGAGCTGGAATCTCTACAAATCTTCCAAATTAAGGAAGAAAAACTCAATGAAATCATGCTCGTCCAATGTATAACCCTAAATTACTCAATAAATTTCAAAAGTTGATGGAATCCCTACACATAATTTGTCAAAAAGCTCGAAATGAAATTTTAAAATAATCAAATCAAAATTCAAAAAATCGTGGATTTGTTTGTTCACCTTGTGTTGTTGTTGTTGTTGGTTCTCCATCGCGATCCCCATCCTCTATATCTATCTAGAGAGAGAAAAAAGAAATCAAAGAAAGAAGAAGAAGAGAGTGGACGGCAAAACGGGAAAAAAAATGAATGGTGAGTTGTTTGAAGTTTTTTTCGATTTGAATATAGAGGGGGGACGGGGGACATAATTTCTCTTACAACGGTCATATTTTCGGTAACGTGCCACGTGGACCAATAGCGATACTCTTTTTGTTCAATAAATTCCTTTTTAGAGGAGCGTCTTCAACAATTTTAAAAGGAAAGAGTTTAGAGTTATAAAGAAGTAGAATAAAAATATATTTAAAAATTAGTGTGTCAATAAATAGAGTTATTGTATATGCTAGGTGGATGGAAATTTTAGGTACAAGCACTCCTAAAAGCATTTCTAGACAAATATTTAAATTTTGATCTAGTCAACATTTAGGTGTGTTTCGTTAACTATTAGGTGATAGTTCAGCTTGGAAACTCACACTCTTGATAACTTAAGTGTGAAACTCAATAAATAGGATAATATAAGTGTGTTTTTTACTATTTAACCCTTAAATTAATAATGCTTCAAACATATAGTTTGGGGTTTATATGAATCTTTTATATTATTTTCGTGCTATTTAAGTTATTTTGTTCCACGGAAAATTAGGAGTTATCCAATATTAATTTTGTGCTATTTAAGTTATATTGTATTATTAGTTTAAATGCCATATTTATTTTAATTGTCACTTAAAGTTTATTATATCGTATCATTTAAATGCATCGTTAGATAAAATCAAAATTTTTTATTTCATATAATGATTGATTTGATGTACTTGTTTTTAATTAATCAATTTTTATTCTTTACCCTACCGTTTTATATCACAATGTATCATCATTCAAATGGTTGATGTATGACATTATTGACATTATGTAAGGCAAAAGGCATAAATTACCCCCTAAACTTGTACCCAAAAGTCATTTACACACTTTAACTAATGGGGCGACCTATTACATACCTTAAGGGGTCGTTTGGTTACTGTATAAGAGACATCTTATTCATGTATAAAAAGTTGCATTAGCTTTACTGTGTTTGGTAGAAGTTTTGTATTAGGTATAAAAGTCAGCATAACTTATACCACGTTTGGTTGGTAAGAATTTAAATGTTGTATAAAAGTTATTCATGTATTAATTTATACGGTGTTTGGTTGCATTTTTGTAGTCCTACATAATTAATACCAACATAACTTATGAGGAAATCTATGTATAAAGTTATGCAGGGTAGAAGGTGGAATAAGTTATGTGGGTATTAGTTATACATGTATTAAAATGATAGATTACATATTTACCATATTAATTTATTTTTTATTTTTTAATTGGAAACTTTACTGTTTCCTATATACGTTTGTTGTTTTTATTTCTTTTTATATATAGATCATTTTCATTTCTTTTAATTTATTTTATTTTATTTAATTGGAAACTTTACTGTTTTCCTATCTACGTTTGTTATTTTTATTTCTTTTTATATATAGACTATTTTCATTTTTTTTATATTTACCGTTTTTATTTATTATGCAAATATAAATATTTTTTTAATATTAGAGATTTGATTGTATATTTTTTGACGGTACATATGCTAATCAAATATTAGCATTATGCTGGAGTTGTTCTATCAGTTTAGGATTTTTTTGTTTCCAAATTAGATTATTTCTAGTTGTTTTTGTTTTGTCTATTTTGTTGACCGACTTGGTCACTCTTGGACCTTGTTTGGACACATTTTTATTTGATGAATAAATAGACATGGTCCAATGTTGATTAAAAAAAATAAAAAATATTAGTATTGTATATTATTCAATATATTCCACATTTTATTAACATGTATTATTATTTTGTAAATAATATATATTAATAATTTACTACAAGTTTAATATAATAGTTAATAATTCATGTATTGTAATCTCTACATAACTAAATAATACCTACATAACTAATATCCACATAGCTAATACCCGCATAATTAAACCCTGCATAACTAATACCTGCATAACTAAACCCTGCATAATTAATACCTGCATAACTAAACCCTGCATAACTAAACCATGTATAACTAATACCTGCATAACTCTAACCAGTAACCAAACGGCCCCTAAGTGCATAAAAGTATATTTATTTCCCACTTCCATCACCCAACCCAGGACATTATGCCTAGAGTGAGAGCCACTCGCCTCCTAGTGAAGCCACGTAATAAAAGACCCCAATCCGATTCATTTGACCCAAACCCATTTCTTTTCACCCAAATCCGATTCTTTTCACCCAAATCCATTTTATTTTACCCTAGTCCATTTATTTCACCCACCCGTTTCCTTTCTCTAAGAACACCAACAATTGCAAATCGTTCATCAAGGAAGACCAAATTTGATGGGGAAGCGATCTCTTGCGGAGTTTCAACAACAACAACAATTGCAATTTCTACAACTTCAACAACAGCAACAAATGATGCTACTTCAACAACAACAACAGCAGCAGAAGGACTTGGATTTTATCTCCGTAACGTAAAATCCAAAAGTTATTAGCAGTCTTCTCCAATGTCTCCTCTTTCCCCTGTAGATTTTTCTGTTGCCGCTGCTGCTGCTTCTTCAATTTCATCTAAATTTTCTTTATAAGAATTACCGCGAATCAAACAACTAAAAATTCAAAATACAAAATAGATAGAAACAAATCAAAATGAAAAAGAGAGGAATGAATCAAAATGGAAAAGAGTTACCACCTTTGATTCAAAAGGAGTTTTGAACTATGTTTGAATTTAGGGTTCTTGATTCAAATTTTTGGGTGAAAATTTAGGGTTCTTGTTCATTAGGGTCGGGTGGGTGGGTTATATGAAGAGAATGGGAATATAACTGTTGGGTTGAGTTTTTTTAATTAAAAAAATAAATAAAAATGACTTTATTAGCGTGTTGACGCGCTCAACTATGTGGAGTGAAACGCGCCCTGGGTTGGGTGACGGAAGGGAGAAATAAATATACTTTTATGTACTTGAGGTGTGTAATAGGTCGCCTCATTAGTTAAAGTGTGTAAATGACTTTTGGGTACAAGTTTAGGGGGTAATTTATGCCTTTTGCCCATTATGTAACAACAGAGACAATACAATCTATTTAAATATTATATTTATTAAAACAATACAATACAACAAATACGATACAATACAATATATTATGAAACAACACGTAAAAATCGTACAAACAGAGTTTTAACAGAGATAAAGCTATGCCAAGATCAGTAGGAACAACACATACATTCTCTTTTCCCCCTTTATTATTGGGATATTACTCAGTCTTAAGATAAGGCAACACAAATTGCACTTTAATAACATTTCATATAATTAGGCTTCTGTATTCTCCTGGGCCTTGTTCTGCACAAATTGTCCACCCTCTTTAGCTCTTTCCTTCATATCCCAAGCTTTGCTTGCAACCTTCATCCTAACAAAATCAAGTTGGTCTGCAGCATACGGAAGTTGCCCACGAGCTTTCCTATACAACCACAATATTGCAGCTAATCCCCCTATTCCACTCCCACCAGAAAACAAGAAACCAGCAGTGCTCAAGATGAGAATCATCGCAGCTGGAACAAGAATTGGGCTGAACACGACAAGGAATGGGGCAGCAAGGATCAGAAATATAACTGTCCCTGCAAAAGTAAGACTGGACAAGCCTAACAAAGCAGCACCAAGTGTTCCTGCTGCCATGAGCCTCAAGGCTTCGTAATTTGGAGGTGATCCACGGAGTTCTTTCTGCTGATCAGACATGGCTAAAACTTCTAACAATAGAGGTTGTTATACTTTTAGGTAGGAACTGAGAATGAATGCAAAGGACTAGGAGAGTCTTGCATTATATAGTTTTTTTTTTTGTGATAAAGTGGGGATCCTAAGGACACATGAAAATACAATTGGCATCATCTTCTTGGGTGGTGTGAGACATGAGGGGTCTAGAAAAGTGTGCAGGAGTGATGGGAAGCTTGGCATGAGCCTTTAGTTTTATGAGCATTTAGGATCAAACATTTGGCAGGGGGAGAAGGAAAAGATGGACAAATTGAAAGTAACGTATGATGCATCTCCAGTTCTTCTATAACAAAAAAAAATAGAAGTACAAATAAAATAAAAACACCAACAAATTACTTTTTTTAAACAGAAAGGCAAAAAAGACGGCAAGTACAACAAAGAAGGGAAATAAGGAGGAAAAAACTTCAAAATTCTTAACAAGGAATTCATATTATTGTTTAAAATTGAGAAAAGATTCCCGGTTCTACCTCAAGAAAGATAGCAGTATGGGAAAAGTAAGGTGTATCACATGTATCTTGATGCTTCTCCTGGTTCTGAAATAGGGTTAATTCCTTTCCGCTAATAACAAGGGGCACATTTATGAACAGAGGCTACTAGATGTTAATTCACTTCAACAATATCACATGAAAATTTTGCAAGCAGATACTTTATTCAAGCTAGAAAAATGACAGAACAAACTAACTCCATGTTTACAGCCAAGAGAAGGGAAAATAATACATAAAGAGATAGGGGTTGTGAGAGTTGCATTGAGTAATGACGCAGATCTTAATCATTTGCAATTAACAAAACTACCTTACACCAGTTAGAAAGTTTTCTAATACTTGAGCTTCAAGATCTACTACCCATTGCTGAATGTATGTTACGTCACTGGTGACATACCAGAACATGATCAAGAGTCCTTAGAAATACCATGATTAGCAGCATCTAATCCTTGATTCCTTGGTAGAACATATGATGGAAGAAATGACGGGATTACAAGTGCCAGTGCCAAGCAGAGCACCACCAGCACTACGACATACCATGCTTGGTGAGGGATGCCAAATAGTAGCTCATCACATACTGCCATGGAAATGCACATAATATTAGCAAGACACTGTGAAGGAGTAACAATTGAAGATACTAACAAATACACAGGCCACAGCTGCCAAAAAGCTTCAGTAAGACAAGGCTGTTGGACGGCAAGCGTATCATGAAACAGGGGTCATAATCATCATGAAAAGCTGTTCATTTGACCATATTCTACAACAGTCATTTTAATGTTCTTAACATCAAAGGGAAAAGGAACAGGAAATCCACGAGCTATCCACAACTTCACAAATCAAAATTTTACAATTGTAGGTAAGATCACATTGTAGATAGACCAGTATAGAAAAGCAGATATGCAATTGAGCTAAGAAGTTTTCTATTGACTAATACTCCACAATAGTTATTACAATATTTCAACATCAAAGAAAAGAGGGGCACAGTTTAACGAGATACTGGCTGCAATAATACAGAAGTCAAAGCTACATTCTGTCAATGGGTTGGAACAAACCAAAGGACCTCATTCGTCTTCAGATATTATAGCTACAAGCCACTTTTTAGCCTACATTTGCAATCCCTATCATTACAACCAAGAACACAATTGATGACCCAGAGATGTTACAAACATTCAACACAATTCTTTTTATTTGAATTGAATGCCTTGAGTGATATTTTATTGCTTTGAACTGCCTATTTGTGTTTGTTTTGAAGGTGGGTGTAATTGGTACGAGGAATGATTTTCCACTGTTATGTGTCAAAAGCATGCGCAATGAAGCTCAAGATCTCAAGCCCAGAGCAAAGAAACTACAGATTAAATCCATAACGACAAGAAGAGTAGGAAAAGGGAGGGAGAAAGGTGATACAGCGCACTGCATTGTATTAAGCTCAGTGCATCGAGATGGCTTACTGCAACTAGTCGTAAAATTGTCCTAGACAGCAGGACACAATGAATTAAAAAGAAAATCAAACTACCCAAATGCAACATATTAGAACATGAAAGATTAATGTAGTACTCAAGTGCATACAAAATTGCACTGTGAAAAAAGATTTCTTCAGCACAGTGCACTTGATATGTTGAGTGGGAGTATTCCATCAAGCGCTATTCTAACGCCTAGCATTCTTATTTATTTGATTGTTTATGCTTTTATAGAATAGTTAGGCATCATCTAAGATGAACTTGAGAAAGCATATCTAGGGCTGTTTTGGATGTGTAAGTTCACAAAGGTTACACGCATCACCCCGTTTAGGTGGTGCTTTACTGTCTGTCCTAAGATACAAGGGCATCAACTGTAGACACTGTCTTTAATAGGACAGCACTAGACAACAAATATAGTTGGCAAACTGATACATTACTTGTTAGAAAACAGTACGAATGAAATTTTAATTGTAAGGAAGAAGAAGTCAGAAATCTAGTACCATATGAAAACCAGCCCCGAGAAACTTTTTCATCTAAATCAGAAACTAAAATTGTTCTACTTGATTGACATCATTTTGTTTTGGACAAATAGGAAAAAATCACCTAGTGTTTTTGCCTCTGTGGGTTTTGAACCTGAGACCAAAGATTTTCAACCCAATTCATTAACCATTGCTACACCCTTTGGTGCTTTATTGACATCTTTTTAACTTCATATATTTCGCTAAAATATATATTTTATAGTTTATTTGTCCAAATAAATAGTTCCCTTCTATTGCATTATATATAAAATATTTTTCTTCATTAGTGCCACTCGTGCTTTAAGTACCATAATGGGCTTAAAGCCCCAGTACACTTTGGCGTTTTTCTATGCTTTTCGCTTTGACTACTTTGTTTACTAGTTATGGAATCAAAAACTTATTTCAACCACAGGTCCATGAGAGAAGATAAAACACACACCAGTTAACTCTTCTTATTGCTTGAAAAAAAAAAAACTCTTCTCATTCACATTAGTTTTCAAACCAAGCAAAATTTATTCTGATCGGATAGGCTAATAGTAATAATAAACAGAGATACAACTTGAAAGATATAACTACTTAATAGTAAGTTTTGATAAAATGTTAATATCTAAATAAAAATGAGAGAGATCATGGCTGATACACAAAGAATGAGCCTCAATTCCTATTATGGTCAGGGGAGGGTTTGTCCACATGCCCTCTTCTCCTTTACTCTAGCAAAGAATTTTTGCTATCGCATTGATGGAGAAATATTAGTCAATCCACTGGTTGACTCACCTTCCAATCTTGTCTCCTTAAACTGCCAGACATGTGAGGGAAGTGGCTTATTTTTTTTCCTTGTTAAACTTGGACAAATAGCTCACAAGCCTAAGATAGGTGTGAAATCTGCTAACAAGACTGAAGCTTAAAAGCAACTTGGCTATGCAATACTATGTGGTTACAAACATCAACCTGAATTTAGCTTTTCCTATTGTTTCTACTCCAGATTAGAAATATCTATATTGCTATGATACCTTTACTAGAAAACTGCTCGGAGGCATCTTAAGACAATATATGTGACAGGTGTTGTTATAATAGGATTTGATGTGATCAATTCTATAACCATCCATACCGAATTTTATCTTGCAATTCTCCCTTCTTAAGGAGGCATCATAAAATACCTGCTAAAATTGAACTTCCCAAGACCAACACATCTCCTGAAAGGAGTTTGCTGCTAACCTATAGCTGCAATGGCCACTGGTGACAGCAGCTCAAGGAGTTCTGCAGATCATGGTTCAAAAATTCTCGTCGCCATAATAAACTCTCATCCTATATCATAGAACCTCCACCAAACTAGAACTTTTTAGCATATATCCAGCTGAGCACTTAAGCCTGTTAAGCATGCACAAGCCTTTCCATCTTTTTTTCCCACATTTTACGTTTCTCGCACCAAATTACCTTTCTTTCTCTTCAAGTGACAAGTAACGGCAATCTTTATAGCACATATTAAAATTCTACTTTCTTTTAATAGGATAAATAATAGAAGAATCACCAGACAATGGCAAGAGGCTTCACATGTTCAATGTTCTTCCTTTGACAATCTTATGCAACAAGTCTTAGATCTAATGGGGTCTACTTGAATTTTTTTCTTTTAATCAACTACTCTTCCATTAAATCAACCATCTAGAGGATGCAATTGATTGCAAAAAAAAAAAAAAGTCAAGTCTCCTGATAGCAAAAAACTCCTAGCTATTCAAGGAGCTCACAAAGCTCTAGAGATCTAAAGGACTTGACACTTGGAGCAATATGGGCGATTCATACAGCCGACCCCAATTTGCTTGACATTGGGAATTGTTGTTGTTATGACGTGGTGTATCTGTAAAGCTAACTGACAGCCTAGATAAATTTCAACATTGCATACTTTGACATCTTTCTGTTTAGCATAAATGTGCTTCCTAGATCAAAGAGTGTTATGCGAATACGCCTTTAATTTTGTGAATTCCAATTTATTAGAAGGTGTTCAATTATAGCATTTATCTTCTTTTTTCATTTTTATGGCAATTGACTCAAAAATACAAGTCATAGGTGAATGTTCTTACTTCCTTCCCACTCTTTTTTTCTGGGGATAAAAAGGAGGTTAAGGTGTGCCTGAAAATTTAGCATTGCCAATTCGCTTCTAAATGATGACAACTTGGGTAACATAATTACTATATTGGCATGAGAGAAGACGATTAAACATGCTAGATGGAACTCTGAACTATCTAAATTAAGGGGAAACGTTTACCTATATTATATATGATGTGTTCCCTCTCCTTTACCCCAGGTATTGCAACAATTCCCTCAGGCTCCACATTTACCAGAACAAACATTTCACCCTGTGAAAAATTCCATTATCAGTGCCACTTCAGAGGTAAAAATGAGCAAAAGAATAGATGAGAATCATTATATATGATGCAGACATAACCAAACCTTGTCACCAAGCAATTGAAGACTGTTGTCCGCCTGAAAAATAATCTTTTCAGTATTCAGTAACTTCCTACCAACATTTAGCACTGAACTTCCTTTACTTAGTTGTAGAGTAAAAGTAGCTGGTATCTGTTATATGTTGAAAAAGTGAAGGTTTAAAGCTTTAAATACCAATAGGGTATAGAAATCTAGTAGTAGGCAAGAATGAAAATGTACATACAGAAGCAGGATATGAGATCTTCACTTCATACCACTTATTGGAATTCAACCCTTGCAGTTCATATAGTCTCGATCCAGATTGTAATGGAAGAGTTTCCTTCATTAGCTCCTGTCCGACTTGCAAAACTTTTATATCCATCCTATAACATTATGAATTTTAGCTTTTATAACATATTTACATTATGCAATTATCTAAAGAACAATTGCAGGTAACTTGGAAAAGGTATACAAATTCTATACCCTGTAACTGAAATCCTTATAGCCTATAGGTAACTATCCATAATAAGCATGGATTTGTAACCTGGAAAGTATACTAAGCTGTTCCGGCCAATTAAATTACATTGACAGGTCAAATTTATGTGTTAAAGTTAAATCCAACAATATATTGCAAAACTCA